AGAGCAGTTTGGCTTTAATAAGTGTTCTAAGCTTTGAAATTGGAATTCTGTGGTCTGTGTAAAAGGGTAATGTCAAAGATGCAGAATTCTAAAACCCAGAGACCAGCAGATGTGCTTTGCTAAGTGATGATCACCAGCTTACCAACTTAGAGTGATTACAGAATAGAGACTTGTTTTAAAACATTTCAAACTACAGCTACAACATTCTAGCTACAAAAAACATTTGCTATTTATTGCTTAATTGTGGCCCCTCTCCCCCAATGTATTTAAACTGCAGAGATGTGCAGAAGAAAGTGCAGGTTTCTATATAGATTAGAATGAAGAAAACAGTTCTTGTTCATAAAAACTATTGTTCATTACCTTGTCAATCTCAAAATACATCTCACCTTACCAAGGTGGTTTTAGAGGTCATTCTAGTTTAAACTTTGCAAGACCTTGCTTACATGAAGAGACTGAAAGCTAGAACATGGTAATAGGTTTTGTTATTAACTTTCCTGAAATGAGGACAGTTAATGTGTAATTAGCTAGTCATGTATTCTTGAGATTATACTAAAACTTGTTCTTAAGGTTTTTAATTTCTAGGCAATAATTTAGTTGTCATTAATGTCAGAGAAGATTTAATAAGAGATAACTTCACACAATTATGAGCCAAGTCTCTACACATGGGGCAGAATTTATCTGTACATTATAATCTCTCTAACATACACACACACAAGAAAAAAATTAAGGTGACATGTCCACATAATCAAGAATAAACCTTGGTTCCCAAGCCATAACAGAACTTGCTATGGCTGTCTTTTTGGGCCATTTCCTGGCTGGCTGGCTGGCTGATGTTCTTCAATTCACAAAATGTGGACTATTTCATGGTTCTAATGGTGATTGCCAGTGAAGATGGTACTCAAAATGAAATTTTCTAAATTGTTAATAAAATCCATTTTCTGTGATAAACATTTAAAATTTGGAGCCACATAATAATACCACTTCAGAAGATTCCCAAGATTAAAGAAGTTCATTATGGAGTAAGCTAAGTAATATCAATGCTAGCAAATCCAAAATCAGTTTGTGTGTATGTGGTGGTGATGTGGTACTGAGGCTTGAACTCAAGTCCTTAATGCTCAGGCTCAGCTTGCTTGCTCACAGTTGGCATTCTACCACTCAGGCAGGCTTCAAATAGTCTTCTTTCTTTCTTTTTTTTTTTTTTTGGGTCCGGTCGTGGGGCCTGAACTCTGGGCCTGGGCGCTGTCCCTCAACTCTTCAGCTCAAGGCTAGTGCTCTACCACTTGAGCCACAGCGCCACTTCCGGCTTTTTTCTTTTTGCTTATGTGGTGCTGAGGAATCGAACCCAGGGCCTTGAGCATGCAAGGCAACTGCTCTACCGCTGAGCCACCTTCCCAGCCCTCTTATTTCTTTTTTTATACATGACTGATGACATTATTCCTATGCATTAGCTCTACCCGACTTCTACCTATAAACCTCACTATACCCAGGTGCTCCAGAGGTAGAGTTATGCCTTGATTCTAATATAGATGGATCACTATTCAGTTGAGACTCAAGGCATAACTCTACCTCTGGAGCACCTGGGTATAGTGAGGTTTATAGGTAGAAGTTGGGTAGAAAGATTCATAGGCTACTTGGCTGAAAAGGGCATAGCAAACAAACTTATGTTTTACATTTTTTTTCTAAATGCCTGATAAAATTAGCTTCATCTTGCAGAATCTCCAAGTTCTTAACACATTCCTTCTGTCAGATTCAATGTCATTTGTCTTTTATTTAAGCACCAGCTGACTCCAGGAAAAGTGTTATCACAAATGTTGATTTTTCTCCTTAATAAAGTAACAGGTCTGGCTAATCCACTGGTTACCAATCCTAAGAATTGTAAACTGCCCAATTGTATATGAAAAATCTTCCACTTCACTTGTCTACTAGTTAATTTACAGTGTGTATAATGTACCAGTTAGTAGTTCAGGATCAATACAATGAAGATTAGAGAAACATATTTGAGGGGTCAAGCATGCAATAAGGCTATAAGGCAGTGAAGTGCCTCAGCTCTAGCTACACTTGAGCCACATCTCTATTTTCAGCTTTTTGCTAATTGGGAGTCTTACAGATTTTTCTGCCTGAGCTGGCTTCAAACTGCAATCCTTAGGTCTCAGCCTCCTAAGTAGCTAATATTATAGGCATGAGATACCAGCATTGGGCTTTTTTTTTTTTTGGTTGGTCATGGGCCTTGAACTCTGGGCCTGGGCACTGTCCCTCAGCTCTTCAGCTCAAGGCAAGCACTCTACCACTTGAGCCACAGCACTACTTCCAGTTTTCTGGTGGTTTATTGGAGGTAGGAGTTTCACAGACTTTCCTGTCAGGGCTGGCTTTGAACCGAGATCCTCAGATCTCAGCCTCCTGAGTAGCTAGGATTACAGGCGTGAGCCACCAGCACCCAGCTTTGGGCATGTGTTTTTTTAGGCGATAAAAGTATCACATAATGATATACTAAAAATTAAACACCTTAAGTGGGTGATTTATAGGTTTCTAAATTTTATTTCATACACAAAAAATCTTGTTCTGAGACATGAGTTACTTGGGAATCAGCAAACCTGTTCTAAAAAGCTTTCTAGTCAGTGGTAAAATACTTAGTGAAACTAAAGTCCAATTTACTTCACTGTAATTGGAATCAGCTTGCAGTATTTTGATATGTACATTTAAAAAATGTGAATGCAGTGTAAGAAAACATCATTACATCAAATATTCCAGGCAGCCTGCCATGAAACACACTTTACTTAAAACAATCTTAAAAAGGGACTACTCATTTAATCAATTGCTAAGTGTATGTTTTCGCTTGTTGCCTTACCTCCTTACAAGGCACTGTCTTCCTAAAACAGTATTGTGGTTTTGGGCATGTTTAATTCACTCATTACTGTACACCAAGCACTATAGAGTAAGAGTGTGTGTGTGTGTGTGTGTGTGTCCGTTCATTCATTCCTTTCTGTCCAGCACTCTCTATTGAGTGAGTGTGTGTGTGTGTGTGTGTGTGTGTAAGACCATTCACTCATTACTGTACATCAAGCACTATACAGTGAGTGTGTGTATATGTACAAGACCAAGAAGGTCATTGAATTTACAATCCAACAAGACAAGTAATAAGCAAATAAAAATGTAACCGCTTTTAAGAGTTTTTTGTTTTTGTCTGAGACTGGGACTCAGACTCAGTATTTGATACTTTACATTTCATTGGCAGGCACCCTACCACCTGAGCCACACATTTTCTAAGTTTAAAATAGAAAAGTAAAAAATGAGGTGAAAGAGGTGGCTAAGAGGCTTCTATGAAGAAGTGGGTGAAAAAGAAATACTTTTTGGGGCTAGGAAGGTGGCTCAGTGGTAGAGCGCTTGCCTTGCATGCATGAGGCCCTGGGTTCTATTCCTCAGCACCACATAAGCAGAAAAGGCCAGAAGTGGCGCTGTGGCTCAAGTGGTAGAGTGCTAGCCTTGAGCTGAAGAGCTGAGGGACAGTGCCCAGGCCCAGAGTTCAGGTCCCACGACTGGACCCAAAAAAAAGAAAGAAATACTTTTTGAATGGGAGGATCAAGCAGGGAGGGGGGGAGGAGAGAGAGAAGCCTAAACTGTGTGCTGCTGGTGACCAACCATCCTTTGATTCTCATTCACCAACCTAATACAAAGATGTCTGGCAAAGGTGACTTTCAGATGTTGGATGGAATAAGATGTCTTATCTACCCCTGACTGTTAAAAGGTTTCATTAATTCTTCAACTGAAGTCACTCCTGGGAAAGATCAGCTTTAAGTGTTTTTTTTTTGTTGTTGTTGGTAATGGGGTTTGAACTCTGGGCTTGGGCGCTATCCCTGCGCTCTTCAGCTCAAGGCGAGAGCTCTACCTCTTGAGCCATAGCACCACTTCTGGTTTTCTAGTGGAGATAAGAGTCTCACGGACTTTTCTGCCCAGGCTGGCTTTCAACCGTGATCCTCAGATCTCAACCTCCTTAGTAGCTAGGATCACAGGTGTGAGCCACCAGCACCGGGCCAAATGATCTTTTTTTTTTTTTCCATGTGCCCTTTTAGCTAACTGACAAATGAAAGGTACTTCATTATAAGTCCTAGAACCTGGGTTGAGGTAGAGTACACAAAGCCTTGAGATCAAACCCCAGTAGGGGGAGGGGGACAACCACCGCAGGATTTAAAGACAAATCAGACATATGCCAGACAGCACAAATACAAGTATAAACAACAAATACAAGCTATAAAGAAAAAGTGGGCCATAAGCGAGATCACCACCAACTGAGGAAGTTTCACGAGGTAGAGGCAGCAGAGCATGTATTATCTATGAACCTAAGGATTTGCACATGTGGGTAAGAATAAAGATTTGTTGCATCCCTAATTAACTTAACTTAAAAATTTTTAGCTCCACAACCAGATTAAAAGTTCAAGAAGAGAAGACTTGATATTGGCCATACCCTTCTGTAATATTTAACATCACACAAAGTATTTTTCAGACATGGGTCATTCATTTGCTGATTTATAATAAGAAATGAATTAGAAATTACAGCACTGAAGGAAGGTTACAATACTCTTTGCTTTATAAGGAGTTTTTAATCTTTGAAAAAAATGACTTTTGGAACCTTTTACTCCATCATTCATCTAATTTCAGAGGGATACTCCTAAGAGTTTTTCTAAAACTAAATGAATATATGCATAAATATATATACACAATGAGCTTCTGAATACACACAAACATTTTGAATAATTGTTTGTCTTTTGACATACACCATAATATTGCAATTAAGTTCAAAATATTTTAAGTTTGTTTTGCCAAGTTGAAGATTATACTTTTTAGAGAAAACATTTTATCATTGCTCAAATTTTCCCGTGCAGTCCCTCAAAATCCCTTCCCAATATAAAATTCAAATACAGCATCTTAAACCACAGAAGAAAAGCCAAATAACCTTTTTTAGACAGTGTCTCAACATCTCTAAAAAATTCCATGGCCAAACTCACCATAGAGAGCTGTCCAAGTTTGATTAATTACATCTAGACACACAGTTCCTGACCTGAAACAGATGAAAAGAATGACATTTTAAAAAAAGAGTTAACAAGTTAGTTGCATGTATCTGGCAACTAATTTTATTCATAAAGAAAAACAATTTTAATACTTAAAAATTTGTTGGAAAATAAGATGAGAAGTATTATTTACAGGCTCTTAAATGTTTCATTTACAGATAGAAAAGGAAAAATAGCAACTTTACAATGAAAAAACCCAAAAACAGAAAACATCTGAATCAGGTCATTGGAATTAAGGTCAGAAAGATACTATTCTACCAAGAGTAAACTGTGTGTTTGTGAACATATGTTAAATCTAACAGATAAAGCCAAAGCAAAGGAAAATTCTATATTCTTTAAAAATATCAACCTTAGCAGGGTACCAATGTCTACTGACTACTAAGGAGGCTAAGATCTGAGGATCCTAGTTCAAAGCCAATCTGAGCAGGAAAATCTGTGGGACTCATCTCCAATCAGCCATCAAAAAATAGAGCTGTGCCTCAAGTGGTAGAGTGAGTGCTAGCCTTTGCTCAGGGACAAGCACCTAAGCCCTGGGGCTTTAAGCTCCAGGACCAGCACCAAAAAAAAAAAAAAAAAAAGAAGTCAATTTTACAAGATAAAGGTTGAATAAAGAATTGTTCCAGATTAATGTAATTTAAGAAAAACCAGACAACTAAATGCAACATGTGATTCTGGATTGAATTCTTTCCTAAAAGGAAAAAAAGAAGTGCTGAAATATAGTGGTAGAATAGATAAAAAATTACTACAGTCAAATTCCCAGATCTAACAACTTCACTGTGGTTATCTCAAAGAATATACCTGTTAGAATGACTGATAACAAAGGAATATTAAGGGATACTACGTATATATGCAACCTATTGATACAAAGTTCAGAAAAACCTCACACACAAATTGTGTAAAGGATAGCAAAATTGAATGCCATGAAAAGTAAAAACTCAGTCCAAATATCATGTATTTTATTTAATTTTTAAATAATCATGTATTTTAAACACTGGAATCATTTAAAAATATTGCTAAATAAGATACAATATAAGGATAAGATTCATTAACTGAAATGAAGCTGGTGAAGTTAATCACCCATATTTGCCTTTCTTGTAAGGACTAAGAAATACTTTAAGGGCTGAAAAGAACAAATTTGAATCCTGAAAACAGATCTGAGTTTTTTTAAACAATAAGAACTGAGATATAAATATTATAAATGTTAGGTGGACACTGATAATGAATGACCTGGTCACAAAAATAGAAGTAATAACAACAACAACAATAATACCAAGCAAACCCAAACAAAAAAAAACTTATGCAGAGTAATAGCTGAAGTATAATTTAGTAGTTTAGATTTTATAGTGTCAAGAGCATTCATCCAGGCCTATGTTCCTTTCCATAAAACCTCAAAGGACAACAAAGGGCTGTTTTGTTTAAAAAGGAGAAGAAAAAAAGGAAAGAAGGAAGGAGGCAGAGAGGGAGGGAGATAAGGGGAAAAAGAATGGAGGGAAGGAGAGAAATTGAGAGAGGAAGGGAAGGTAGAGGGAAAGGGAAAGAGAGGGAAACAGGGATGAATTCTAAGTGTAGCAGCTGTTAAAACTTCAATTTTTAAATAGTTACTTACGCTTCATCAATGTTGGGATGGAAAATTTTATTCATGAATCCTGTAAAAAGAGATGTTAATTAGCAGCCAAAAGTATCCAGGAACAATGAGTTTTCAAGCATGTCAGGACTGGGAATAGTTCAGTTTTGAAAAAGGTGATAATATTTGTAACCCATTACTTTTAACCTTAGATCTTTGGCTATGTAATTATTAAGACAGTATCTTCATGGAATCAAGAGGTTTTTTTTTTCTTTGTTGATATTTTCTTTTCTTTTTGTCTAGTTTGCTCAGTTTATCTGTCTCTGGGAGGATAGATAGGGTACAGAAATGGAGGGAAAAAAGGGTGAACAAATGAAACAATGGTACTCACTAGACACCATGTTGAAAATGAACTATCCAACTTGTGAGTGGGAATAGGAGGGAAAAACTGGGAAGGGGTGACATTGTCCAAAAATAAATGTACTTTTGGGCTGGGAAGGTGGCTCAGTGGTAGAGCACTTGCCTTGCAAAAATAAATGTACTTTTTACTTGACTTATGTAACAATAACACTTCTGTACATAACCCTTATAATAACAAAAAAAGATTAAGTTCTCCTTATGGCTCCAATAAACTAAAATATTTAAGGGTTATTAATAAACAAGCAAACATTAGGAACAATACAACTCTTTATAAAGCAATTGTTTCTTGAGCTATGAAAGAAACTGTCAAAAGAGAACTTTTTTTTTTTTGGTCCGGTCGTAGGGCCTGAACTCTGGCCTGGCCGCTGTCCCTCAGCTCTTCAGCTCAAGGCTAGCACTCTACCACTTGAGCCCCAGCACCACTTCCAGCTTTTTTCTTTTTGCTTATGTGGTGCTGAGGAATCGAACCAGGGCCTCAGGCATGCAAGTCAAGCGCTCTACCACTGAGCCACCTTCCCAGCCCCAGTAACTTCATTCTTAACTTCCCCTTCCAATAGTTTTATTGTTCAAGCTCTAAAATGTAAGGTTCTGCCTTTGAACTTCTCCTTCTGAAGCTCTTTACTGGTATTGTTTGGCCACAGGATGTGTGGAACATGAATGAAATGGCTGAAATGCTAGAGGAACACTTCTAAACCACAAAGGATTTCATAACAACAGTGGCCAAAGTATTTCCTTTAATTTTAGTTTACTCATGCAAGGAAACCAAGTTTTGATTAAAATTGAGGCAACCAAGAATTAAGACAAGGAGTTAAAAATAAATTCTCTAGGATAGCTATATTTGTCAAAGATTTAGGTTTTTTGATATATCCTTAGAAAAACAATACAGACTTAAAAAATATATTGCTATTTAAATCCAAGGAGAAATGTATTTTCTAGCTTAAAATCGGTGTGTGTATACATACATACATATATATGTATGTATGTATACACACACCCACACACATATATACAACTGACTGAAGTAGATTGACCCACTGTCAATCACTTGTTTCCTTATTTAGGACTTGTTTGTGTCCCACACTTCTCAAGTTACTTACTTACAACTCCATCTTCCCTTGCTCCATCCCCACAGGTTCTCCTTCTTTCACTCAAAATATACTGTTCAACACCTGCACAGTAGGCACAAGCTGAGCATCAGTGGCTCATGCCTGTTAGCTACTCAAGAGGCTGATATCTGAGGATCTTGGTTTGAAGCCAGTTCAGGCAGGGAAGTCCATAGGACTCCAATCTCTAGTTAACCACCAAAAAATGGAAGTAGAAGTGTGGCAAGTGGTAGAGTGTTAGCCTTGAACAAAGAAAGCTCAGGGCCAGTGCCTAGGCCTTGAGTTCAAGCAGCACAAAAAGAAGGAAGGAAGGAAGGAAGGAAGGAAGGAAGGAAGGAAGGAAGGAAGGAAGGAAGGAA